TATGCTGTGGCGCTGGATACGGAGGCTGGGAATCCCAGAAGCCAGATGCAGTGTGAGCCAGCTGGCTCCAGTGCCTGCTTCTTCCTGGGTGCTGCAGTGTCACCTCGGGCTCCTGAGGTCCCCTCTCCCTCACTCTTCCTCCTGTCTCTGCAGGGAGCCTGCCCCCTGGAGAGCACAACTTCCCTTTCCAGTTTCTGCTTCCTGGTGAGGGCCCAGCCTGGCCAGGGGTAGTGGTGGCAGGTGGTGGGGGAGGGTGAGAGGTGGGGGGGTGCAGTGGGATGCCAGTCTCTGCTCTCTCTCCAGCCACAGCACCCACGTCTTTCGAGGGACCTTTTGGGAAGATCGTGCACCAGGTGCGGGCCACCATCGACACGCCACGCTTTTCCAAGGATCACCAGTGCAGCTGTGTCTTCTACATCTTGAGCCCCCTGAACCTGAACAGCATCCCAGATATCGAGGTGAGGATGGGCCAGCAGCCCTCTGGGTGGCCCTCCCCTTGACGGATGCCCAGTCCCCATTCGAGGTACAGGGGCCAAGGTCTGAAAGAACAGTGACCTCTGTCTTCGGCTGACCATGCTTTGTCCAGGGTGGGGGCATGGCAGGGCTAAGCGGCCTTGTCCAGGATCTACCGGGGTCCAGCCGGCCCACCCCACTAACCCCCTCCCCACCCTCCCCACCCTCCCCACTCCCAGCAACCCAATGTGGCCTCCGCCACCAAGAAGTTCTCCTACAAGCTGGTGAAGACGGGCAGTGTGATCCTCACAGCCAGCACAGACCTCCGAGGCTACGTGGTGGGGCAGGTGCTGCGGCTGCAGGTGGACATCGAGAACCAGTCAGGCAAGGACACCAGCCCCGTCGTGGCCAGTCTGCTGCAGGTCAGAGCCCCCCTGGGATGGTGGGGGGGGCAGGTGGCTGGCCTGTGGGTGCTCACAGGCTGGCCCTTCCTTCCCCAGAAAGTCTCCTACAAGGCCAAGCGCTGGATCTACGACGTGCGGACCATTGCGGAGGTGGAGGGTGCCGGCGTCAAGGCCTGGAGACAGACGCAGTGGCAAGAACAGATCCTGGTGCCTGCCCTGCCTCAGTCTGCCCTGCCGGGCTGCAGCCTCATCCACGTGGACTACTACCTGCAGGTGCTGGAGCTGGGGGGGATGGCTTGGGGGAGTGGGCCTGGCAACTTGGAGCCTCACCCCTGCCCCAATCCCTCGCAGGTCTCCCTGAAGGCGCCTGAAGCCTCTGTGACCCTCCCGGTCTTCATTGGCAATATCGCTGTGAACCAAGCCCCGCTGAGCCCCCGGCCAGGCCTTGGGCCACCTGCTGGGGCTCTGCCCTCGGTGGTGCCCTCTGCGCCGCCCCAGGAGGAAGCAGAGGCGGCTGCTGGCCACCCCCACTTCGCGGACCCTGTCTCCCTCATCACCCAGAGCCATTCGCAGCAGCCACTGTCTGGCGGTCCCGATCTCTGTCCTCTGGACAGCAGCCCTGCTTCCCACCCCCTGCCCCCTGCCTTGTGCATCTCCACAGGTGCCACTGTGCCCTACTTTGCGGAGGGGTCCGGAGGGGTGGTGCCCACCATTGGTACCTTGATTCTCCCCCCAGAGTACAGTTCGTGGGGCCACCCCTATGGTAAGTGGGGGCCTAGGGCCTGGCTGGGGAGGGTGTGCCACCAGCCCCTTACAGACTTTGCTCTCTCTCCGCAGAGGCTCCGCCGTCCTACGAGCAGAGCTGCGGCGGTGCGGACCCCGGCCTGACCCCAGGGAGCTGACCCTGAACCGATCCGCCTTCTGCAGGCGGGCTGACCTTTGCTGTGGGACTCAGGGCCTCATGCTTTCACTCCCGGCCTGGCCCGGCCTACTCAGGACTCTCCACGCGCTGCCGGGCCCTCTGCCTCCCCTGGGCCTCCTCTTTGGCCCCCTGCAGTCGGCCTCTCCCAGCGGCGGGACTGGACGGACAGGTGTAAATAAAGCGCTTCATTTGTAGTGCAGGGCGCAGGTCGGCCTCTCGGGCGCCCTCCTGTGTCTGGATGTGCGGGTCCAGCCTGGGGGCCTTTTCCCCGGACACGCCCCCATCCGCTCCGGCGCGCCCCCTGGCCCCGCCCGTTCCCTCCGGGTGAGCCCCCACACCCAGGCCCAGCTCTCCCCGGGCGCGCCCCCTTTCCTAGGCCCCGCCCTTTCCGGGGCGAATCCCTCTCCTCGGACCGGGCCCCTCCTCCTTCCGGGTGTCTTGGGCCGCAGGCGCCCCGGGGGAGCGAGAGCTAGAGCTGGTGCTCGGACTCCCGGCGCTGCCTAGGGATGTTCCTTGGAAGCCAGGTTTCGTGTCTGGAGCTCTGGCCTTAATTTAAAATGGGTTTGTGACGGGGAGGAGGCCACCCTGTTCCACTTCATAAACGCACTCGTGGGCCAGCCGCTGAGCACGCATCGTTGCAGGCAGCGCGGTTTAAACCTCCGGCGCCGGGGATCCGGTCGGGTGAGGAGAGAGTCGCCCTTGGGCTTGGCCTCAGGTGTCACATCTGGCTGAGACTGCTTCTCACCTCCCATCCAGTACGACCACTCAGGCCTGACCCCGAGGTCTGTGTTTTTAAGGGCTGTCATTTAGCTCTCAAGGAACCCAAGCGCAAATAAAAAGCCGGGGTTTTGCAGAAAGACGTTTCTCAGGGACATCCTTGCAGACGTTCCAGACCCTTCCCGGCCAGTGATCCTGGAACAGACTTCGAGAAACACTGGAAGTGGGGTTAAGGCTTTGGGTTCGAAGTCCCGCTTGCCATACGGTGCAGGGTGAGCCTGGCTCGGGTACCTTAGTCTGTAACAAGCTCCTGGGACTACGAGGGGATGGGTCGAGCCCCTGTATCTCCAATGTGACAAGTTTATTTCTTGGAACATTTGACAGTCCAGAGGTGGAGGATCTGGGCCTGGTGGTGGAGCTGTTATTCTTTGTCCAGACTCCCAGGCCTCCCCCACACACCCTGTACAGGGTGGCTGTTCGAGTTTTCACCAGCATCCCACTTACTGGGCCCGCACCTCCAACTTTTGCACTCATCCCACTGGCCATCCTTTGCTGTTGGAAATGTGCTCTTTAGCGGCTGCCATGTCCCTGGCCAAATGTTACTGTTTGTGGAACAGGAAGAGGATGAATACCAGAGAAAAGCATGCCACAAACAGGGTAATCTAAAATCTCTGCCAGGAGCTGTGGCCTCTGTCGAAAGGGAAGTCCACATGGGTTCTGATTTTATCGCTGCCTCCTGACAGCTGTGTGGCCTTGAATGTATTCAACTACCGTACTATGGTTTGCACATTTACCGAGTGTGGGTAAGAACAGTGTCCATCTCTCACGACTCACCTGATGGTTAGAGTTAATAGTCACGTGCTGAGAACAGCATCTGACACAGGTTGCCTGTGATCAGACCAGGGTCGGGGTGGGTTGCACTTGTGCAAAGTGGGAGTGTAGCCTACCGCTGATGCTCGTTTGTATTTGCCTGGTAAAGGACTTTTCTCCATGTCTTAACTCATTTATTCATTCAACAAATGCAAGTATAGTTCTAGGCACCAGGGCACACCAGAACCCCTGACCTTCTGGACTTACACGGTAGTGAGGAAGACAGACAATATGGTTATGGAGTAAAATGAAGCAACTAAGTTCTGGGGTGCAGTGTCATTTTTAAGAGGCAAGGGCTTCCCTGAAGAGGTGGTGTTGAGACTCGAGGAAGGTGGAGAAGCCAGCCACACGGATGCCTGAGCTGAAAGCGTTTCAGGGAAGGGACAGACTAGGGCCCAAGGCAGGACTGGAGATGAAGAGGACAGACCCAGAGAGACAGGTGTGGGTGAAGGTGGGTCAGGTTGGGTGATCCCAGCCATGATGGGTGACTGCTCCTGAGCCCCCTGTCCTGGGCTGCAGATAGAGCTTGGGGGACCCTAGCCTGCCACAAGCTGACTTAGGTTGCCCAAAAGGAAAATGGAAGGTTTCTTGGTACTTAGGGTCATCCATTCCCTCCTCTGTACCTGTGTGCACCATCATCGATTACAGACTTAGTGGCATTTTCCTGGGTTTTTCTCCCCCGAGACTGAGCCCTCACGGGGTTGGGGGCAGATGAATCTTCAAGTTGGCCTCCTCAGTTCTTGTTTCTAAGACTAGCCAGAGAACCCCACTTCTGCCCACGATTTTCTCCTTGCCTCCCAAGGCATAGGTGGAGGTCAGGATATGGGTGGCCTAAGCCAGTGGAGCCCAGGGAAGGGTGGGGCGCAGGAAAGGTCTTGCTCTGTGCACAACTGAGTGGCAGGCGGGCAGACAGGCAGGTGCTGGGCATGGAGCTTGGAGTGATCAGGGACACTGCCCGGCTGCGGCAGCCAGGCACCCACCCCCTTAACCAGGGCACCCCGAAACGGGGGCACCCCTGCTCACGCGGACGTCCCTCACAGTCCCAACAGGCTCCTGGCTAGAGCACCCCCGAGCCGCGGCACTGCCCCTAATCGCCGCGACTCCCATAAGCGCAGCAACTAAGTCCATCTGAGGCGACGCTCCCAGCGAGACATCCATCCACGTTGGGGCATTTCTCCCCATCGGGACATTCCCCTCCCCCGCCTCCGGGCAGCCATCGCAGTCCGGACACCGCCCCCAGCTCGGGCATCGCCGCCCCTCACTCGCACAGCTCCTAACCGGGAGCCCTCCCAGATGGGCGCACCCCCGACTGGGGCACCGCCCTAGGACGCAGGGCAGGACCCGCCCTCTGTGAAGGCCCACGGAAAGACGTGTCCGGGGTTAGAGGTCAAGGGTCCTTCTCCGACCCCGGCCAGCCCGCCAGAATGCCTAAGTAGAACTAGAAGGTATCTGTGAGAACGTGGGGACGACGGCCCCGGCCGCGGCGCCTCCTGGAAGGCCGCTCCGCTTGACCCCCATCCTCGCCCGGCCCGCGCGACCCGTTCCGTCCGGCGCAGGCCTGCGCCGTGGACGCCGCTGTCTAGGCCGCAGCGCGCAGGCGCAGGCACCGGCGCAGGCGCAGAGGGGCGCGGCCGTCCCGCCCCGCCCTGGGCCGCGAGGCGCGGGCGGGGCGATGGCGCGCGGGAGGGGCGGGGCCACGCTGCGGGCCCGGGCCATGGCCGCCGCCGATGCTGAGGTGAGGAGCGGAGCCGGCCGGCCGGCGGCGGGCGCGGGCGGGCGACGCGAGGCTGGCGGGGTGGCGCGGGCGCGGGAGGGGGCTCCGCGCGGGCGGGTGGGGGGCGCGGCGCTGGAGGGCGGGCCCGCGCCTCGCCGCCGCTGCCGCCGCGCCTCAGGCCGAGGCCGGGCCGGGCCGAGGCCCGGGGCGTGCGGGCCGCGCGGCGCCGGGCGCGCTTTGTGCGGGCGCGGGCGGGGGCGGGGCGGGCGCGGGCGGAGGAGGCGGAGGGGGCCCGGCGGAGCCCGCGGGCCGCGAGGACAAAAAGGAAAGTGGGGCGCGCCGGCCAACTTCGCGGCGCGGCCGGGCGAGGCTGTGCGCTCCCGGCGCCGCCGCGGCGCCGCTGACCTTCCACTTTGTTCCGAATAGGACGGCCGCGCCTCGAACGAAAAGTTGGCGGTCCGCGCGCGTGCCCCCGGACAATGCTGCCGGGCCCTGGCGGCTGTCAGCCCCGGAGTGCGCGGCTCGGGCGGATTTCTGAGCAGACCGTCCAGCCGGGCTCTGCGCGGAGAAAGTTCCCCTTCTTTTGTTAACGCTCTTGGCCTTCCCCTTGGCTCGTGGTCGGGGGTGGCGGCCCAGGAACCAAAACTCCGGGGAGACACCGGCTTCCCGCTGAAGGGGACGGCGGGGCGCGTCGGGTGCCCGCGGACACGCGGGAGAGCGCGGTCTCCGGGCTCCCCCGGGGGCCGGCGTGGGAAGGTGGTGACCGGGCGGGTTTCCTCGCGGCCCCCCGCCCCATGAGGTGATAACGGCGGGGACTCCCCGAGATCGGAGAGCCGAGCTGGTGCGCTGGTCTGTGGGTCTGTGCGGGTCCAGGGAGTGGGCACTCTTCGGGTGTTAATTTTCCTCTCGCATAGTTGGCGGCGTTGCTATTAGGAAACGGAAGGAGCAGGGTGGTCGTTAATTCAGTGCGAGGAGCACGCATTGAGCCGGCAACGTGGAAGGGGACGCGAAGGTAAATTGGACACCGAACTGGCTGGTAGGGGAGCAGCTCCGTAGTTAGTGCCTGATGGCACCGGGCGCTGCACAAGCCCTCCAGGTGAGTCCTGTCGTGGGGACTTGGGACTGGTGCGTCGTAGGACCGGCACTTGCCAGGGCCTGGCGCACAGTAGGGTTTTAGTAGGCATTGGATGAGCAGACGGCCCGCAAGTCTCCGGTTCCGCAGGCGTCCTGGGGCCGGAGGGCTTGACCGGGCTGGTGACCGTGACAGCCGGTGCGCACTGCGCCCTGCCTGTGGCCCGCGCTGCCAGAGCTCGCTCGTGAAAGCATGCCGTGCTCTTAGGAGGGGGTGCTGGGGTGTCCCCCTCGGCACATGAGGAAACGGGCCTCGCGAGACCCAGGGTTCCAGGGCCTGCGGCTGAGAAGATGGACGCAGGTGGTGCCGTGCCAGAGCCGCCACTTGCCAAACGCGCAGGGTACCTGCGGTCTGCGGGGGGCTTTCGGGTTGGTCCCCGCTCTGGGTTCAGGTGCCGAGCACGGGTGCAGGAGCGCCTGGAGAGTGGGTGGGCCCCGGGCCAGGGTTCACTGATCACCACATGATTAGATCACCAGAGCGGACCCCGAATCCTCTCCCACTGGCTTCCTGTCTCCTGTCTTCCTGGACCTGAGCAGCAGTCACTACTTTTTGACATTGGAAAGGACTGCTGAGTTGGTGGCTGTGTTCCCCACCTCCACGTTGTGAATTAGTAAGCGGAGCCCCAGGGGTCCCAGGGTGCCCAGGGTCACCCAGCGCCCCCCGGGGTGGGGCGGCACACTCGACTTACAGCTTTGAACCCAAGGACATGTCACTTCTCAGCAAGAGGGATCCCAGAACAATCCTGCACTTTTCTAGCTGGGTGGCTGTTGTGTGTCTTTCCTGAACCTTCCTTTTTGGTTCCTGAAGCAACATGTGCACGTGCATGCAGTTGAACAAGTCAGGTGGTGCCGAGAGAGTTTTACCAAGCCGCCCCTGTGCTGCCCTGTGGAAAGGCAGCAGCCACACGTGTAGCATGTGCTGTGTTGTGTCTTCGCCAGCGATTTCAGGGTTCACATGCGTAACACGTGTGCTGGGTAGTCGTGTCTGTCGCCAGCGATTTCAGGGTTCTCTGGCTCCCACTCGCGGTGGAGGATGATTTCAGTTCTGGCATATTCTCTCACCTAGCTAACTCACAATTTTGACTAAATCCATATCCAGCATCTTTTTTTTAAAGATCTTATTTATTTATTTTTAGAGTGACAAAGAGGGAGAGAGAAAGAGAGAGAAAAACATCAACACGCAAGAGAAAGTCGCCCCTAACTTAGCCCACAACCCAGGCATGTGTCCTGACTGGGAATCGAACCCAAGACCTTTTGGCTCACAGGGCCAGTGAGCCACACCAGGCAGGGTCAGGTCCAGAACCTTTGTCAGTCTGTTCAGATCGTCATTGTGCCATCTGAGCTGTGCCATATAGTTCTTCATTTATTTATTTATTTATTTATTCATTTATTTATTTATTTTTAGAGAGCGGGAAAGGGAGAGAGAAAGAGAGGGAGAAAAACATCAATGATTGCCTCTCATGTGGCCCCCACCAGGGACCTGGCCCACAACCCAGGCCTGTGCCCTGACTGGGAATCGAACCGGCAACCCTTTGATACACAGCCTATGCTCAATCCGCTGAGCTATGCCAGCCAGGGCAAGTTATTTTTTTTTGTACAGGGTTTTTTTCTTCCTTAGAGTAAGTGATTGTCTTATTTTTTGTTAGTTCAGTTTCTTTTGAACCTCAGAATAATGTTCTCACACCTATCATTCTGTACAACCTTTCTCATTTTAGGGCCCTGCTGGGTAGCTCAGTTGGTTGTAGCATTGTCCTGATGTGCCAAGGTTTTGGGTTTGATTCCTGGTCAGGACACGTACAGGACTCAACCAGTGGGTGCATCAATAAGCAGAACAACAAGTCGATGTTTCTCTTTCTCTTTTCCTCTCTATCTCTGATAGATAAACTTAAAAATAAATGTTTCTCATTGGAAGTTTTCACCACTTGGGCACGTTAGCTCGCCAGCGTTCTGGGTGCTCTCCGGCCACCCTGCCCGGTGAGGGTGCCCGTCCTCCTGGCTGCTGCACAGCGTCACCCTGGGGAGTTCTCCCCTTCCTGGGGAGCCGGACCGGCTCCCTGTGCTGGCGCTGGCACCCAGGCTCCAGGCCCTGCGGTCCGCTGGGACCTGCATGTCTGACCACGCTTGAAGGCGAGTTGGGCTGGGCTCGGCATTCCCGGCGGGAAGAAATGTTGATTTTGAAGTTACCATTCCAGCACCTTCTAGTTTTCGTTGTTGTTGTTGAGAAGTGAGTTTGATTCTCAATCCGTGGTGAGTGCCCTTCCCACTTCTAACTTGGCTTTGAGGATTGTTGCCCCCTAGGTTTTCCTGGTTTTCATGGTTTGCCTCAGTGGGGGCTCTTTTGCATTTATCCTGTGGTGCATTAAATGGCCCCAGAAACTGCAGGTTGACGCCTTTTCGTTTGTAGGAAATTTCTGGACGAATACGTTTGAGATTGTTCATGCTCTACTGTTTTCTCTGTTCTCCTTTTCCAATTCCTTTACTTGGGTGGGACTCTTAGTACTCTAGTTTTCAAAATGCCTTCTTGTTGTCATGTATCGATCTTTTTGTTCTACTTTTTGGGAGAATTTTTTACTATTTTCCAGTTCCACTGAATATTTATTTACTTATAAAAGGTTTCATTCTCTTTTGAGAGAGGGGGAAAGGAGACTGAAAGAGAGGGAGAGAAACATCGATGTGAGGTTGCCTCTCACACACCCCCTGCTGGGGACCTGGCCCACAACCAAGGCATGTGCCCTGACTGGGAATCGAACCAGCGACCTCGTGGTTCGCAGGCCGGCACTCAGTCCACTGAGCCATGCCAGCCAGGGCTGTCCTTTTTTAAATACCTCCTGTTCTTGTTTTATGTGTACACTGTCTTTGCTTACCTCATTTCAGTTTAATTTATAAAATTACAGTTAAATTTTAAAAATTATTAGAAATGGTTGTTTCCTGCATTTTTCCTGTTTTCCCTGCATGCTCTTTGATGTTGCATTTTTTTGGTCTCTTCCTTTCATGCTGGAAACCTTCCGTGTCTGGTGACTCCCTTGGCTGTTCATTCACCTTTAAGGGTCAAGTAATGGAAACGGAAAGCTGTTTGGGGTCCTGCTGACCTGCTGCAGGGCGGTGGCGCTCGCTGTTGTTGGCTGTCCTCTGGGGCCCACTGTCTGCTGGGTGGTTTCCTCGGGAAGGGGTCTGCCAGCGACTTGCCTTCTTGGTGTAAGTGGATGTTCCGGAAGGTTAAAGGTGGGGGTGGTCCGGGCGGCCTGCCCATGGCTCGGTGGATAGACTTTTCCTCTTGTCCCTGTGTGCAGTGGAGGACCTCACTCCCGTGTGTCCTGGCACCCACCGTCCCCCAGCGTGGCCCAGACCCAGCGGAGTGTCTCAGCGCTCCCCTCTGTGCTCCCAGGGCTGCAGGAGAGGGCGCTTGCCTGAGTGTGCGGGGGGGGGGGGGCCTGGGGACCTGAGAGCCCAGCATTCCTGACCTGGGCTCTTACACCCACCCCGTTTTCGCTGCAGGCGTCACCCCCCACTTCTGAGCCCTCCCGTGATTCTGTGGGGTCCGGCGCCCTGCTTCTCAGTGGTGACCCATCCTGCATCTTCCTGTTCACGTTTGTGTAGTGTTTTTCACATCTCCCAGGAGGAGTTTGTTTCTCTCTCCTCTTCTCTTGTTGGTTGGTTTTTGACAAGAGAAGGGGGTGGAGTGTCCGTCCTGCCATCTAGAAATCAGAGGCATTTACTCGCAGTCTCGAGAAGCGACGTTTCAGGAGCACCGAAGGCACAGCATCCTGGGGAAAGAAAGGGCTGCCTGTCCCAGCCCTCACGGTGCAGCAGGAGAGGCCCCGCAGTCCTGGCCACCCACAGGGGCGTCCAGGGCAGCCTGGTTGCTGGAGACCCCACCTGTGGTCAGTGCC